CGTCAAACAACAGTGCCCTTCAAAAACCATGATGACCAAAAACTATTTGAAATGTGGACTCCTCAGACGACAGCCCACTGGGGTGGAAAAAAAGTATTTTAATTTTATTTACGTTTCGCAGCACGACATCCAAACATTAGAATTCGAGTTTGGAAATCTAGGTCAGCCGTTCCTCTATAAGAGGCGAGTGTGATGAGTTCAGGAGCAGGAAATATTCTTGTAACGAGAATGTGGAGTGTATGCTCCTGTGGGTGTCACAGCACAGTCGTAAACTGCAGAGTGCTGAAGCGACACATCCTCGATGTGCAGGAGCACTCGCTCCCTGTCACTTGTCATGCTGACCGACATTCTGGTGCTGCCATTTAATGGTTTGCCATTTCCTGAGTAGGAAAGGAAGTGTGGAGCTTGTCCAGGAAGTTGTTTGTACCAGAATATATAATGACTACCCATTGACTTTTTGGCATAAACGTATGACAGTGTCGCCCGACTGCCTGTTGATGCCAGCATTTCAGTTGTGACCGCCACCAGCTCGCTGCTGGTGCCTGAAGAAGGATGAGACAAAAGCAGTTTCAGCATTCGGTTGAGTGACTCTTTGCGTCGCCATGCAGCACTCACCTGCCACCGTGATGATGAGCAGCAACCACGCTGACAGCAACATACTGAAGAAATTTCTGTCAAACTCTGCTTCTCCTTCTGAACTGAAGCTCTGAACTCACAATATCATCGTGTAACTGAAGCTCCTCCCTGATCACGTGAAGCCACGGCCCAAGCTGCCTTTTACTTTTACTCCGGTACCTCTAATTACGAACGTCTATTTGGACGAAGTTTTCAAGTTACGAAACGCCTGAACAGAAAAATATTGCCTCTTGTTGCGACAGAAATTTCAAGACAAGAAAAGGTAAAAATACAGAATGGGCAGCTGATCGCAGCTCCGAGTTTCCTGAAAGCAACATACTTAGAGCTGCTCTGTCATTGGCTATTACCAAGCATCTTCCTGGCATCCCATTGGCTAAGAAGGACCTCTACCTTATGTGTCTGTGTGTGTGTGTGTG